AAAAAAAAACCATAAAAAAATCAAATTAAACATCAATTCAATTTTGATGTTATTCAAGATGAATGAGTCATTTTTGACCCATTTTGCATTTCCATAGTGAAATGACTTCGTCCAAATTTGACTATACCGGTGTCAAAATTGGCACCTGTTGAAATTATTCTTGCTGTTAACTCGACACCAATTCTATTGGATGAGTACTAGGAGATAAAAAGTTGACCATTAATCAATGTGCTATACAATCTATATATCTAAGATTGTCATTAATCGTGAGATAAACTTTTACTTGTATCATACGCAAATATTCGAAATGATAAATTGCATTGATATTTTTCTATCATATTCTGTTTAGATATTTCATATATGATAAGATACTATTAAAACAAAACAAAAACACAAAGAAAAAATTCATTTTTATTTCTTGTATATATACATAAATAATTTGAAATTTCTCCACAATAATTCACAAACGTTGAATATATTAATGATTAAAAAAATAGCATTAAACAAGTTCAAAATCATCATCCGAATCTAAAGAAAGCGCTAGAAAAAGAGAAAAAAAAACTTTAATGTATACTTTTGATATATTTCATACATTTACCTTCATGTTGGTCCATTTTTTCAGCAAGAGCATCAAATGGATTCGTTTCACATATTTCAAACATTGGTCTTGAAGGAAGATTCTAAAATACTTCATTCTAATTAGAAAAATTCCTTTTTTTCCAATTTACTTGTCTTAATTTCATAATTAAATCATCAAATTCACTTTCAGTTTTACATCCAAATGCCTAAAATAAAAGAGAAAATAATTAGATTATAGATAATAATTTTCTTACTAAAGCAAGAGATGGATCAAGTCCAGAAAATTTCATTCTGTTAATTCTATCACAATGATATGATGAATCATCTGAAATAACAGTTGTATCAACATGGATCTGTGTTACATGTGGATCTAAATATAAAAGTTCATCATTTTGTAAATAACCAATAAAATAATGTGCATGATTAGGTTTTCCACCAATAAATCCAAGTGTTTGTGGTAAACGAAAGCATAACTAAAAAGAACTTAATTCTTAAAATTTTCATTTAATAACCAAAATTTTCTTTTTTACCTTTAATTGATCAATATATTCTATATTAACATCATTTAAACCTAATCTTAACGGAATAATAATTACTAATGGTTTCCAAGTAGTTTGTGAATCATTTGATTTTTTTATTAGATTAGGAATTTGGGAATTTTTTTGACATAATTTACCTAAAAAGAAAAAAAAATTAAATTTTGTGAAATAAAATCTAAAAGAAGTGTTGAACTATAAGGGTAGAAATTTAGATCCACCTCACAGACGTATAAGACATCTTAGCAAAGAGTTATCACAAACACAACTATAGACGCCATAGCAACGCCTCGAGGATTTCTATCTCCTCAAGTCAAACAAGCGGAAACGATGTGGAAAGCTAGTTTTTTTATGGACTCTTCGCATTTCTATAGATTTAAATAGCTTGTCGCTTTCTTTCATGACATTTCCTTATTCACAAAGTTCCAAAATAATAAATAATGCATAAAGAAGATGGATATTTTATTAAGCATATCAGTTTTTGAACGTAGTTACATTTACTGAACAACAGATGTTAGTGCATCTTCATGCAATAATAAAGTATTGTAATGAATTTGTATGTCTGCAGCTATTGAATCTACCGACATTCAGTTGCAAATATCATTCGAAAAATGTCTCATTTCCAAAAAAAAACACTTTCGACATTGGCGTTGCTAGCTGGAATAGAACACAGAATGCATCCTATAGGCAATCATAGACAGTAACCGGTAGTTATCACAACTCACATAATATTAACAGATTTTATTGTCTCAAATTTTTCAATAAAAAAAGAAACCCAAACTTCTCATATAAAAAAGTGGGACAGCAGAAGAAATGGCATTTCTGAACATCTCCTCCTCTGCTTCATACACTATGACAGTCGTTAGTCAGGGATCATCGCAGATCATGAGAAGAATCCGTTGGATCCGAAAATTTCGGACCCGGTTTATTCAACGTGTTTAGGATGCAGATGCAGACTCGAACGAACTGTGGTTTGACACTTTCAATGAAACTTTCCGATCGGAATAGGATAGCCACTTCGAAGATACAAGATAGTTTTTTCTGGGTTTTTGTATTTGGTGACTAGTGCATCTTACATATTACTCAGACGAGTCGTCTGAGAAATATGTAGAATAGAGTCTATCGAGTCTGAGATCAATCCGACGGGCTCTAACCGTGACAGACGTTAGTTTACCATCACAGATCGTATATTAATAACGTCTTGTTATAATACATGAACTACATTATAGCATTTCTGGATGACTAAGTGAAACGATGATGAAGAAATGTGTTCCAAAAAAATCTTCCTGTGATTACCAACAGGAACTAGATCATGTTTCACATTTTAATCTCGCAGAGATTGCTCTAATATTTTATTTTATAAACAAGTTTAAAAAGAAACTAACGTATTTCATCAAGTGCAAGTGTATTATCCATTGCAACATGTACATGAACTTGCTTATCAAATTCATTGGAAGCAATTCGTCTAAATCAACCGAACGAATCAATTCTATTATTTTCTTCAGATGAAATTTTAACTACCGAAGTACTTGAGCTATCGTATTTGGACCAAACCATTGTCCAATATTTTTTCCTTCAGAATTTCCCATTTGAACTAAAATAGATATATAACAAAACACACTTTCAATAAATTTATTCACTAACTCTACAAACCGATTTGCTGTATAGAATACGATGAATGACGTTTATCAATAAACATATTTAAAATTTCCCAATACATTGGATCACTTATATTTGGACGCCATCGAAAATCTATTCAATGAAAAATTCGCTATCATTTATATATGTATAGACTATTTTTTTTGCATACATCTTCCAGCTGGTAGAAAAAATCGAAGATAAGCTTCAGCTAACATCATTTGACCACAACGCATCATACAACCCCATCCTGTATCTTTCGTCGGACCGGATGGACCACCTAAATACACATACATTTTTTTTTTCGTCACATTCTTTTCATTTAATATTTCTCACCAATTGGAGCAAATCCACTTCGATATGTAAACCAAAATCTACTTATAATATCATCAGTTATTGCATAAATATCTAATAATAATAAAAAAATTAATTTATAATAAATTGTCATTTATGGAAAACTTTACCGTGCGGAGTTTTATATTTAATACCAAGAATATATAATTCGGTATCTATATCAGATAAATTCATATGATCAGTACCATTTCTTTCAAACATTGACGCGGCTAAACTAAGGGCTAGAAAACGAAAAAAAAACAAAAATAAAATTTCCAAAACATAAAAACTTAATTTCTTTTGACATATTCTCACCCGCACTATTCATTGTTCGCAACAGTTTGTAGCGATAAACATAGAATTTTATATAAAAATAACACTCTCGAATGATAGTAAGAAATTTTGAATAAAAATGATATTTATAACAAATAACAATGAATATAAACAATAGAACAAAGACTAACAACATGTAAATATCTAGATAATCACATACAAACGAGGTGAATAGTTATTTAGATTGGTATTATTTATTAATCAATAAAATGAATGTCTATCCAACAAGACAATATATTCATCTAAAAAAAAGAAAACAACGGAATTGAAAATGAATCAGAATCTTAAAAATAGATAACTTTATTTTTTTATTATGATGATAAACGAGGTCGCTAGTAGTCAATAATATTCGCTAAAAAAAATCAATATAACTATCTAAGACATTTTTGACAATTGACATCTATACACACAAGATTAAAAATGAAATAATTAGCTCTATTGTCATTATTTTTTAGTCTTTTTCGGTATTAATGATTTCCACATGCTGTTTCATGACATTTTGGAACTGGTGGTGGTACATCTATGGCTGGACTACCAGCAAAAAATCCAG